ACACTCTCTCTCTCTCTCTCTCTCTCTCTCTCTCTCTCTCTCTCTCTCTCTCTCTCTGTGTCTCTCTCTCTGTTTCTCTCTCTGTCTCTCTCTCTCTCTCTCTCTCTCTCTCTCTCTCTCTCTCTCTCTCTCCCTCTCTCTTTCTCTCTGTGTCTCTCTGTCTGTCTGTCTATCTCTCTCTCTTTTTCTCTCTCTCTCTCCCTCCCTCTCTCCCTCTCTCTCTGCCTCTCTCTGCCTCTCTCTGCCCCTCTCTCTTTCTCTCTCTCCCTCTCTCCCTCTCTCTCTCTCTCCTTTCCTCTCTCGTCTCTACCCTTCGATTCCTTGGCGGGTGCTCTGGTAATCCGGATAATATGTTAATGCACCTCTTTGGCAAATAATATGATATGAACGGCTGAGGCCAATAGGTTAGAACCACTAGGACAAACGGGTTAGCGTCACTCCAACAATGGGAGTGCACCCACTCCGGCAGACGGGTCAGGAAAGAGAGTTGACAGTCTGAAGTCGGATAATGTTTTACTGAGAATTATCTGGTTATCCATATATTATTATTTCATCCGGATTTTGCCCACCTCTAGTAGGGAGATATGTGGGCACGGCCCCGCCTGGCCTGTCATTGGGACAGACACTCGCCACTGACCACAGCCACCCTCTCTCTCTCTCTCTCTCTCTCTCTCTCTCTCTCTCTCTCTCTCTCTCTCTCTCTCTCTCTCTCTCTCTCTCTCTCTCTCTCTCTCTCTCTCTCACACACACACACAGAGAGAGAGAGAGAGAGAGAGAGAGAGAGAGAGAGAGAGAGAGAGAGAGAGAGAGAGAGAGAAAGGGGGATGAGTGAATAGTATGAGTAAGGGCAACGTTTGTACATGTATAATATATATCACTGCTATTGTATTCTATAACCGAACGGGACTGCCAATTGTCATATCGTTGAGTTTTCAGAAAACCATCTGGAATTCGACCCCGTTGATTAATCAATAAAAATCAATAACAGAGTTAAAAATCCATTAAGTAGGTTCTGTTTTTACCTCCGTTACGAAAACTCTTTTGCAAAATAATCAAATCGCAAACACTGTGGGAGCGAGACAATGGGCTATTGCTGCCACGAGTGATGAATAGTCATTTGTAGTAAAGATGGGGTAATATTATTTTGTTGTGCCTTCGGAAAGCAGTCAGTTGTCAGTCTTCCCCCGCCCCACATCACCTTCCCAGATTTTCTCTGTCTATCTCTCTCTCTCTCTCTCTCTCTCTCTCTCTCTCTCTCTCTCTCTCTCTCTCTCTCTCTCTCTCTCTCTCTCTCTCTCTCTCTCTCTCACACACACACACACACACACACACACACACACACACTCACCACCCAGGGTTTGTCCAGGAAGTTGTACTCCGCCGTCAAAGAGTTCACACTGGGTATGGCGCCGTACTTGAAGCCCAACAACAGATTCCTCCAGTCCTCATGAGCGTCCCTGACGTGTTGTCGTATCAACACAAAGTCTGGCTTGAACGACCTGGGGACACAGTGAAGATAACAATAATGATGATAATAATAATAATGACAATAATGTAATGATAACAATGACAGCAATAATAATAATAATAATAATAATAATAATAATAATAATAATAATAATAATAATAATAATAATAATAAGAAGAATATTAACTACTACTACTACTACTACTACTACTACTACTACTACTACTACTACTACTACTACTACTACTACTACTACTACTACTACTAACACTACTACTGCTGCTGCTGCTACTACTACTACTACTACTACTACTACTACTACTACTACTACTACTACTACTACTACTACTACTACTACTACTACTACTACTACTACTACTAACACTACTACTACTACTATTACTACTACTACTACTACTACTACTACTACTACTACTACTACTACTACTACTACTACTACTACTACTACTAATAATAATAATAATAATAATAATAATAATAATAATAGTAATAATAATAATAATAAAACTATAAGAGTAACCATGCAATCACCTGGTATGCGTGTAGACCTTCTCTTTCGGCTGTCTGTTCTGAACGAAACTTGTCTTGTCGTGCTTCCCAAAACGCTTCATCATTCGAATGTTCCGGCGCCCGACCGATGGCAATCCCGTCCATACTGCTCAAGAGACCTGTTGTACCCCAGATCTGAATAAAATATAACAAAATTCGTTGAGGGACCAGTAAAGAACTTTCGTTTCCCCTAGATATGAATAACATAAATTTATATAATATCGACTCGTACTAGTATTGAACAAAAATTTTGTTCAAATCTGGTACGAATCGATATCAATTGCTTGCTGTTGCTGAAATGTGTGGCTTTCATCAAGGTTAATTAAACGCTATAAAGGTTTATAGTGTATACTATAATGATAATACAAAGCAAATTTCAGTTTTTTTACGGTAATGTTACAACTGTTGGTCGATGCTGAGCACTGCTCTGTTTTGAGATGGTTTTAGACATCATCACTAACTGTTTGCTTGTTGTCCATTC